AATGTAATAGATAATTGCTATAATTTTTCTTTCTAATTTTTTCAGGAATCTTATTTTTATTTTAGGTGATTTTATAAAACTTATCTGAACAAATTTATGAATTAAGGGTGATAAAAGTCACCTAAATTCCTATTTTATTGACTTTTTTGGTGGGAGAATATGAGGCTGGCTTGGGGAAGAGGAAGAAAAAAAGAGAATTGATTTTGTAATGTTAAAACAACTTATAATAAATTTAGGACAGAATTACCTAGGCCAATATGAATAAAAATTTAAATGGGCCCTATTAATTGGTGAGAAACTAAAGAAAATTAATTAAGATAAAGTTGATTCAGTACTAGTTTATGCTGGCAATGTAGGCAGTCTCAGGAAAAGAGGGGGAGGGAGTAGTAAGAACTTTTTCCCTTAGTTCCTAACTTCTTATTTGCTTCAAAAGAATGCTAATTGTCATTATCACAACAGGAAACATTTGCTTACAAGTAAATGTGAGTTTGACAGTCTTAAAATGATGAATTCTTTTTAAAAAAAATTTTTTTAATTGTACTATAGATGAAGGTTTACAAAACAAATAGTTTCTTATTAAATAGTCAGTACACATATTGTTTTATGACATTGGTTAACAACCCCACGACATGTCAACACTCTCCCTTCTCGACGTTGAGGACCTTTTTTTTGTTGAAAATATACACAGCCAAAGTTATACCATTTTGAAAGTTTCTACGTGTACAATTCAGTGACATCAATTACATTCTTCCAGTTGTGCTGCTATTCTCACTGTCCTTTTCCAAATTATTCCATCACCATTATCTTCAACTCTGCCCTCTAGGCTTCCCATCAAACCTTTGAGTTGCTGTTGTCAGTTTGATCTCACATAGATAATCCTTTTTTTTTTTTGTACCTTAGATGAAGGTTTGCAGAACAAATAGTTTCTCATTAAACAGTTAGTATACATATTGCCCTATGACAATGGATAACAACCCCATGACATGTCAACACTGTCCCTTCTCAACCTTGAGTTCCCTATCACCAGCTTCCCTGTCCCCTCCTGCCTTCTAGTACTTGTCCCTGGACTGCTGTGCCTCGTTAGTCCTGTTTTGCTTTATGAAGCTGTCCGATCCCTGGCTGAACGGTGAACTTCAGGAGGGGCTTCACCACTGAGCTAAAAAGGTGTCCGGGGGCCATACTCTCAGGGTTTCTCCAGTCTGTCAGGCCAGTAAATCTGGTCTTTTTTTGTGAGTTAGAATTCTGTTCTACATCCTTTTCCAGCTCTGTCTAGGACCCTCTATTGTGATCCTGGTCAGAACAGTCAGTGGTGGTAGCCAGGCACCATCTAGCTGTACTGGACTCAGTCTGGTGGAGGCCGTGGTAGCTGCGGTCCATTAGTTCCTTTGACTAATCTTTTCCTTGTATCTTGTTCTCTTCATTCTCCCTTACTTCCGAAGGGGTGAGACCAGTGGAGTATCTTAGATGGCTGCTCACAGGCTTTTAAGATCCGAGATGCTACTCACCAAGGTAGAATGTAGAGCATTGTCTTTGTAAACTGTTATGCCAGTTGAGCTAGATGTTCCCCAAGACCATGGTCCCCACAGCCCTCCACCCAGCAATTCAGTCCCTCAGGGAGTTTGGAAGTGTCTGTGGAGCTTCCATGACCTTTCCTTGTACAAGTTGTGCT